TGATATGTGACCTTTAACACAGCGTTATTTTCTATACATCTATACTCCGCATTTGTGAGTGAATGTTGTTAGCTTGAAGTTGCTTTACTTCCATCAAAATGTTAACCTTAAGAATACATAATAGTATCGTAGTTTGACAACAATCCACTATGTATTACTGTGATAGAGTAAACCTACCTTGGTCCAAGGACCAGCTCCTGCTTTGAGAGACTATTTAAGTAAAAAGTGAACTTCTCTAAATGCCCTGCTGAGCCAAATTGTAATAAACTGAACTGATACTTTTACAGTGTGAGCCATATGGTTAGTTATGCAACACATCTATTAGAATATACAATTCAAAACCAATTATTTTCAGCACATAATTCCCAGATGAATGTAACTATCTTTAACTGTATCATGATTTAAGGCTGAGCAGATCAAAACAGCCCCTTCAGTAGACTTGCATGTTTCTTAGACAGTTTGCAGCAGGCTGTGAACGTGTCTTTAAATCGTTTAATTCTCACAACATATGTTAGACATGTGGTAAATCATGCCAGGAATCAGCGTGCTCGTCTTTGGATGCACCGGGACTGTGTGTGTGTGTGTGTTGGCTCCTTATCAGCTGGGAGCTTCATTCTTGGTGCAGGATTTTCTTCTGACTCAGTGGATGTGATCCCGTCCAAGTGTGTTAGATTAGACTTGTGCTGTTGTTGTTGGAGTCTGGCTTTTTGTCCTGTGTATTTTCCTGACAGCAACAAAACCAGCACATTGAAAACAACTTGTATTTGTTTAAAACAAAGAGACAACCTTTGCTGTGAAAATGAAGCAAATGTGGAAGTGCAAAAGACTGCACCATAGAGTATACATACATTTGCATAAATGACTGACAGGTGGGTTGATTGCAGCTGTTTTCCAGGAGGCTTTATGCCACCTTGACTCTACTTCTTTGTCTGTTGATTGGTTGACCAAAAATTAGCGGGAGACAACATTTCCTACATGTCGTCCCCACAACCACCGCCGCCCTCATTCATGTATGGCCATGCTCCGACCTCCACCTCAGCGGCAAGGAAGTGTGGACAAAGGAGAAATACTTCTTGCATATTATCCCATCTCCCCATATCCCATTTTCTTAACAATGAGTAAGGTGTTTTATCTGCTCTTTTGTAAAGTGCCTCGAGATAAAACTTGTTATGAATTGGTGCTACACAAATAACGATTGATTGACATGGCTTTACCATCGTCTGGCTTCTTAATGCACCTTCAGAAATCGATGGGTAAAGACGCTGAGACATTGTCCATGTGTTATTGCCTGTGGTTTAAACTGGTTACATACTATAAATAGGTATGAATTATACTCCCAAACTAAATAAACATAGCAGCACCTAAAATTACATTTGCAGGTAGCAACAAGTAATTTAAAAGAGTATGTATGGTTATTTTAAATATTGATTGTTTAGTTTTTTCTATCTCGCCTGCAAAAAAAGAGGAGCAAATGATATATTTTTTCCTGATACAAGCTTTTGCATGTGGAGCCAAAGCTTGAACAGCTGACTTCTCTGTGCCAACCACCTCCATCATCACTGTGAAACTATTAAAAATACATTAACGTGCCCCATTGTTGCACTGGGACACATTTCATTTTCATCTGAAAATAAGAGTCCAAAAAAAAAAAAAGCTCCATTAACTGCTGTTGAGTCATGCTTTTCTAAAAGCATATTAAAAGCTCAGATATTTTGGGGGAAATAATTTGGCCTTGAATAATGAATATTTATATTTGTGTTAATTGAAGATGAAATCATTTCAAAAAAAGTGTGTAGAGGACTTGGGAATTGAGCACAGATTATTTCAGTGCACAGCGGCCCCAAATGCTCAGCACCATCTGCCACCGTTTGTAGTTGTGCTTACTTTATGTTAACTTGTAGTCCACTTCTTTTAATTAATCTTTCACCACTTATGACTATAAGCTCAATGAGAGGAAATGGTCACAATGATCTTGCCACATGCACCGCTTTTGTTGGAGGTTTTGTGGTAATTAAAGTCTTGCAGACATTTTCAGAGTAACACAAACAAGTAAAAAGATGGTGGATGCTCAAAGATGAACGACAATAGATGGATGCACAACAATAAAAGAAGACAAATGCTTACCAAGATGTTTCTCCATTACAAGTACTCAGTTTCAAAGCTTTTGGGTCACCATGGCATTTATAAAAGATGTCTATCAACAATAGGTCAGACTCTTTTAAAACATCAGGTTCACATGTTAACAGCGACATAATGACTGCCTTTTAAAAGTGGCAAAGAAATGTGTGTGTTTTTCTGTAGAACCTGCATCATTTAATAGTGAGCTTCTGAATTGCAAAGTGCCTACACAATCTGACATCAGACAGTCCCTTCTATCCGTTTGTATACTGTTAGGACCTACTGTTCAGTCGGCGAATATTTGTTTCTACTTCTTCTGATTCATTCAGGGTGGAAGTGGCGTCATTAGCTTGCCTCACGCACAAAACCCGGAAGTTAGCATCCATCCTGAAATGTTCAGTCTACTGAGGTGGACCCAAAAAATGCCCACTGAATGACCACGAGGGTTCAGTCTACTGAAAAGTCTCCACTTGGTTGAACTGTGGCTATTCGGAAAGGGCCAGAGATTGCTCTTTTGTGTCATAATATAGCAGTATAAGGTCTTTTACCTGCTCTTTTGTGAAAGTGTCTAGAGATGACATTTGTCTTAAATTGGCTCTTTACAAATAGAGATCGTGTAAAGCTGCTTTATTGCGATTGTCACAAGCAACATCGTTATGTGAAGACCCCACAACTGTCAATCAAAATGCAAATTACCCAGGCCCACACAGTCTAGAGATATGGTCTCCAAAGCAATATTAACCAGGATTTGACGGTTTCATTCAGTTTTTTGTGAATACCAAATGACACTCTCAACTTTAATATTCCAAAGTAATTTCCAGAAGCTTAATGTATAATAAAAACAAGTTTGATGAGTGAACGTAATGATAGGGAATCATGTGAGAAGATTTTGGATCTGTATTTAAAAAGAACTCATGCTGAAAATAATGCTGAGTGTCCAGCCGAGTGTGTTTGGATTTGCATGTGCAGTATCTGTGGAAAGTAGCCACCCACATTGCAAGGCTCCATCTCTACCCACCTATAAGCTAACATCCACAGCAGTATGTCTACTTGGTCATCCAACACATTGACAATATGAAGCTATTTGTTGCCTTTATGGAAAACGGTTAGAGCATGTCAATAAAAAGATATGTATAATGCATGGGCATCAAATTAAAGTCATGGTTGATAAAGTGGTCCAGTTAAAATAGTGGTTATAAACACGCCGTATGTGGTATCAGAGGACTGATGTCATCTGTAATCAGGACTGTAAAAAAAGACTTACTGGAGGACATGTACCCGCCGTGAAATACACAGGCGCTGTCCTTTTCCACTGAAATAATGTCTGAATAATAAACTATGTGAAAGTGACCGAGACAGACACAGCAAGCAGCACAAGCTGATTTATTCTACTTTAATCTTGAGATGAGTTTGGTCAAGGTGCCCCTGTCTCACAATGCTCCGTACCAATACATTAGTCATTTCTTTCAGACGTAACCAGGAGTCATATCTAATGAGGACGAGTATTCTTAGAGGTTTACGATGTCCTGCTGGCAGCTCCAATCAAAATGATTCAGACATGTTTTATCCCTTAAACCTTGAACACAACATGCTTACAGATGTGTCTGGTTTCCAGGCACAGGAAGGCGACATACACTCATTACAGAAACAGTAGGACAAGAGTAGGTCCTTTTTTAAAAAGCACAAAAGAGTAATAACTGTATTATTTACCGGACAGGAGATGAAGATATAACAGACTATAGTATCACTGTGTTTCACTGTTTCTCTCTATTTTGATTTTCTTCCCACAGTGAAGATGCAGTCATGCTGTGGGTGGGTGTACTGTATACACAGTGCAACTTCAGCTCATAAGTGAAGACTTCTGATTGACCTCAGAGTTATTAAATCGGCTCTCACTCTGCAGTACTTTGTTGAATTCAGATCTTTTACAACACAGCACACTATCTGAATGGTATATGTGCAAACACAAATACAAGACAGTTTAAATTAAATGTGGTGGGTTTTACTCTTTGTCGTGTAAAAGGAGCTGTAGCATTTCTCCAGATTGTCCCAAGAAGATCCCAGAGACATTGACAAAGAAAAACTAACCAGAGTGCAAAAATATTCAGTGTGTAAAACAAATGTTAGATATGCTTTCTGGGATAAACACAAGCATTTCCCTCTAGGAAAAGTTGTCCTATGATAGACAGTAAACATTTTTTTAATATGTCATAAAAGCATATTTATAACTTGCTAGCAGAAATGTTTATCCTGCACCTGAAAACTAAGATCTTTCTCCATCTAAATTAACATATTCAAATGCACATTTCCATGTTTATACACATATACAACTTTCTCTTATTCTTTAAGATCTTTGAACAGTATAGGCATCTTTGAGCTATGAGCTAATAGCACAACATGCATCAATACATATTTAAATCAACGGGAAGTCAGTGAAATTATAAACGTTTTCTTTTGCTTGTACATGCTTTTTTTTTGTTGGCTAATCAGTCACTCCTTGCTAAGTGCTAAGGCTAGCTCTTTAACTCAGTAGAATGCCAAATAGAGCAGTAAGAAATTCAGCCAGTCTCACAGATGACTGGAGTAGATCCTGAAGTATGTCCACATTCAAAAATAGTATCCAGAATTTTTTGGAATCAAAAATAGATTCTCAATCGAATCGTGACCCCAATAAATGAAATCCAATCGAATGTTTAGACACCCAAAGATTCCCAGCCCTACTGCTTTGTATTGAGGCCGTTATTCTGTCTGCAAAAACGGATGTATTTCTGGCGCTGCTATGTGAATACATGTATCTAAAAGCACATAAAAACTAACATGATTTACTCACTGTGACCTTGATCGAGTAAGTCTGTCTAATCTTATTTCCAATTTCGATGCAGGCGTGGAAGGCATGGAGTGCTCCCTCCCCATGGACGGCAGACGAGTATCCCTGACCCAGCTCTCTAAGGACAGCTTCCGCGAGTGCCAGGCCACCTTGACTCTAACGGACCTGCTCATCATCATTTTCTCTGGCATCTCAGTGTCTGTGGTGGCCATCATGACCAGCTTCTTCCTGGCGTCAACTGTGCATTGCTTCCAGCGCTGGAGTAAAGGCACCAAGGGGGATGAGGAGGAGAGTGAGGAGTGAGAGAGGGGATTTTTTTTTAAGGGCCAGCATGGTCCCGGTACTTCAAACAATGAGAGGACACCGCAGACAGTGTGTGATAGATGCTGCTTCCTCCTGGTGAATATCCAGTACGGTTCAACGGTAGGATCTTGCCCTGGTGCGGGTGCAGCTGCTGTATTGGCACGAGGACATGTGAAATATGGTAACCAAGGACATTCCCAAGGAATGAGCCAAAGTCCCATTCAAAAATAGTGAGCGTCCTACACATGAAAAATTATATTATAGAGATCCAGTTACTGGCTGTTAGAGCCTTCTGTCATTTTTATGGCGGCAATTTCTTGGCTCGATGTCTTAGGCCTACACAAATATAGTTAGACTAACAATCAAAATATATTCAAAGAAAACAATTTTTAGAAAAGTCTTTGTCTTAGACAAGCTGTTAAACATGTAATCACTTAGACGATGGAGTCTGAAATCATGTTAGGTGACAAATGTTTGGATGATTTTCACAGTGCAGATTGATAAATCTCATCAAAAAATGATATCACATCGACCAATGACCTCAGTATGTAACTGCCTAGAACATGACAATGCTGGCATATCCTGCCATCTACAGTGTCTTTCATGGTCAGCATCTCTCACCAACATTCAGAAGTGGTGCACATGCTCCAGAAAAAGGCAAAATACTGTTGTTGCTTCTGCATTTAAAATTAGACAGTGGCAGAGGTTTTAGGTGTAACCAGAAGGAGTTGGACGATGGCTAAGATGGTAGGTAGCTAACAAACTGTAGGCAGGAACTTCCCAGCCGGTCTAAACAATCTCACAGCAGTATATTCATTATATAATCATACATTTATGTACAAAAGAAAACAATGTACAGGTAAATGAACATTATGAATAAAAAATGATGTACTGTTTGTTTCTTAGCTTGAGAACTGTGAACTGTATAGAAAGATATCCAAAAACAGTATAATCTTGGAAATTACGGCAAATAAGGTATTAACATAGAGTAGAACTATTGTGTCAAATAATGCACTTTATACGGTGAAGCTGATTATGGCATCCCCTAATTACACTATGTAGACTGGTTTTGTCTTCATCTGCCAAAGATTAGGGTTTAGGAGTGATTGCATAGACGGACTAATGTGGATTTTAGTGAGGTAGGGATCGCTCTGAAATAGGAGGCAGTACTATAGCCAAATTAGGGTCCTGTGACACATATTTTACTGAGTAAAAGAATGAAGGTCTCCAAAGATAAGCTTTTTTCCTCCAGGTCTGTCTGCAACTGAACTTGTGCTCTCACTTTGTTTGTACGTGGCACTGCTATTTTAGCTCACAGATCCCTTCAGAACAATTAGATATTTACTGTGACGGGCAGGCTGTTTTTTCTCTAGAGGATTAAATAGAAGTAGGCACATCATTTTCATTTACTAAAAGTCTCCAAGGGTCTTGTAATAAAGCTGTTGACATCAAAAGTCTTGCTCTATCAAAAGCTTCTGCAAAGAATGACAGCACAGTGAAAGGGAAGGAAAACATTGACCTGAGTGTACACGTGCTTCTCTTTGTTATTTGCATCATGTATGTTTAAATCCACCACCATTGGGATTTGGACAAATCCAATCTGAGCTCCCTGTATCCCCCCCTTAGCTAAGGTATGTGGCATCGCTTTTCTTGTAAGGCATAAATAATTCAGCAAAAATTGAGAGCTGTGAAGCAGAAAGAATTTCAAGCCTCTTAATGCAAACATGCAGCAGATAGAAAAAGAGCCATGAGCGTATAGGAAGCCATCTTTTCTGTATGCTTCACAAAAGATAAAAGAGAATTCCTAATGCCGGTGTCCCTTCAGAACAAGTCATTACCCTGAATGTGCATTGTTTGTGGAGCACATTTTGCAACAAAAAAAAACAGATAAATATATGTGGCCTTATTTATCGTTTATTTTTCATCTGTTACACAGTCAGTAAAAGCACAAAAACAAAACGGAAAGTTAAAGTGACTCTTGTACACACTAATCTTACAAGGTTATGTCTTACCATGTGTTGGTGCGAGACTGTTACATTAATAATTTCTGTACTGCCACATATTTTGTCAATGATGCCACGCCCTTATTAACATTGTTTGACTTATACTGTGTGCATGTAATGTATTTAGGAAAATTTAAATCACATGCCCATCGGAAAAAAAACATTTTCCTATTAAGTCAATTGATTCTTTGCTAAACCCCTCCGTTGGACACCGTTGTCCAATCAAAGGTCCAGCAGCCCTGTAAAAGTATAAGCAGTGGTGTAGTGGTGCCTAAAGAAATGGGTATACTCTTAATTTGTCCCAAAAAATATTTACATGATTGACAGGTGAGTGCGATGTAACGCTTCATCAAGAGGCTTAAAACCTACCTCAGCTCCAGCTCTCAGCCTGTCGTTAGGTTGACTGAAAGTTAGGCTGAGACAGGATTTCCAACATGGCGGCTGCTGCCGATGAGCCTCCATAGCCCCCTGCAGTAACAGATGGCTGACGTCCATGGTTTTATCCAATTGTTAACATGAAAGGATCAGGTTCAAATGTTTCAGGCAACAAAGATGAATATTGAAATGCTAAACACCACAAGAAAAGCTAAATTGTAGGCTGCTAAGTTAAGAATAGATGAGTAATGGCATGAGTAGTGGCATGTAAAGGTGCAGAGCTCAGTCAAGCAATCAGATGGAGATTTTTTATACATATCATTATAATTTCCAACTACTGTGTAGTTACTGTACATGAACAAACAATTATGTTAGCTTAGCTGTGAGCTTGAAGCATATTAGCATGACACCTTTTGTTTCTCTTACTCATTTTATTAAGCAACAACTATCAGCACATAAGAGCATGCACTGTTACGTTACCTGCAGTTAAAAGTTCAGATTCATGTCTATTTTTCTATCAAACCTTTCAGAATGAAGCATTTATTTACTCTGTCAGTCCCAGTTTTTTCAGACACGGCACACCCAGGAGAGCAGAGACATTGTTGGCTGCCTTCGTACAGTTTGTCTTGACATTGCTTAAAAAAAATACCAAATTCAATGTTATGTTTTGTCAGATAAATGTCAGAATGGCTCAGATCTAGATGAAGAGACACAGAAGGGTGTGACGTTGTTGCATCTGAATGCATTTCCAAATGTCAAGCAGACACTGTCAAACAACAGACCGTATGTGTAGCTGTAAATTGATGTTTGGTTAAAAAAAATAAAATCCTTTTTTTCTGCCCTCTGGCTTGTATTTCTGATGAAATCTTTAATATTGGAGTGTAAAATCAAACACATAAGCATGACAAAAGTGTATTATTTATGCATTTACTTCATCATGCATGCATGTGCATTTAAAATGTGCACAGGGATTGGTAGTAGTTTCCTTTTCTCACACGTTGCCCTACATGCAGAGAATGTAACAACAGCTTAAGTGCATCTCATAGAGAAGTGAAATCTCCAGCAGAGTGTTAATAATGAAAAGACAAATTGTTAATTTCTTCCCCTGTTTTTCGTGGCGTTGACAGATTTTAGTCTCGTCACATCGGCAGAGGAGAGCGGCTCATCTGTAAACACGACTCAGCGTGTTATTTCACACTGCACTGTTGTCACACAGCAGGTATGCAAATGGATGTACTATTTTTGGAAAGGGTGTTAGAGAAATTAAAGACTTGGAAAAAAAAAAAAAGATCAAATTCCATCCACTTGCATAACAAGTATCTTATTGTTCATGCACAATTTCTTCCATTAGGAGCTGTTAGACAATCTGCAATAAGTGTAATGAAAGGATGGCATGCAATCCTATCCTGTGAATACTTTTTTCCTGGACGCCTCCAGTGTCTTTTTTTTTTTCTGCAGTGTCAAGTTCTTTAGCTCACAGAGGCGCTGAACAGAGGAGGTTTTTTTTTCTTTTGCTGACAGAGGTCAGTGTTTCTTTATCCATCCCTCATGCTAATTATTGATGTTTTCCTCATTTTAATCTTCATCACATCAGGAGATGAGCTAACATGATACCATGCCTTACTGAGGAAATCTGATGTCAAATGATCAAAGATTGAAACCAAACATCCCCCTCAGGGTTTGTAATGTCAGCTGGAAAGAGAGAAGAGTCACAGCACAAAAACATGAGGGAGAAAAAAGCCAAGAATCACATAAGCAGTTCTGAATGGGAATTCGTGCATTGGACATGTGGAATGGCATGCAAGAAACACTTGCACATACTATGTTAGTGCACCACTGCAAAAGAGGCCTGTGAGGGTGGTGGTCGTGATGAGGATTCTCTTGCAACCATTTACCTCATTTGGTTGTCATGGATACACAGCCGGAGGCCCGAGCTCTTGGACGCCGAGGCGGGAACAGGGAGAGGGAGGGATGCTGGGAAGCATGGCCCTCAGTGTGGCTGCATCGCCTTTATTTCCATGCATCAGCTAACTGGACGTGGCATTTTATTTATATATATATATATATATTTAAAAAAAATCCACAGTACTGAGGCCCCCTGTGAACACATGTGTGACTTTCAGATCCGTCCTCGCTTGGGTTTTTCCTGTGTTGTGATAGGTCAGATAGGTTATCTGTCACAGTAAATTCCGTAGACTATAAATGATCTACTGTACTGCATCTATTTCCATGAAACAGGGAGGGGTCATATGCTTCTGTTCAGCTTGAATGAACAAAACACTGTGCATATTTAGTATGTATTGAGCATGGTAGATTTTCTGCAGCTTCACTTCAGATATAAAAAACACATATGGTCACAAAATTAAAGTACTGAAAAGTTACATATGCAAAAAGTCTGCTGCACAGGATCAAGTACTTTTACTTCATCCCCACACCCAGCGCCAAAATCTATGAATTTATAGAGATTTGTTTTTGGTGTACAAGGTTTTTTTTTTTAAAACACCCAAAGGTTTTAGGAAGAACACAGGCGTAGTTGTGTGAAAAGAAAGTCACCATGGGTGTAATTTATGAAAGCCTGCCTCCCAAAGTGTAGGGACAGATATATACAAGTGTGAAGAAATGTACAAAACAGTAAACAAATACTATTTACAAAATATACCAAAATAACTGAAAAAAAAGACAAAAAAACAATATCAATTTGTTCAATGGACAGGTTCGGCAGTTGTTACCTTCAATGCTACTGAAACCAGACTGACTGGACAGGCCAAGGCAGCCTTCTTTTATGAATGAATAATCTTTTATTTCATATTTTACATATGGCCCCTCCCTTCTGGGATCATTCAGACACATTTAAATAAAGCATTTCCTAATGTCATGACACTGACACAAAATGATACAAAGATAGAGTGAACAATTCAACACCAAAACACTCAATAAATACCTCATACACAAAAACCACCAAACAGAAGCCCCTCCCACTGGGCTTCATCCATGACATAACTTAATTTAAAGCATTTTAAACTCAAAACACTTAAATCAACATTTTACATCAAACCACAACACAAAATAATGAAGAAAATATAGAAAACAAGCAAAAGATCAACGCTGACCATGTGGTTGTGAATTCTCGCGAGACTTGATTATTTTACATGCATAAATGATACAATCTGTTTCTTCGGAAAACGTAACGCCCATCGTGATAACAGTGCTTTAATGTTGTGTAGATGTTTGTGTAAGATGAAACAGAGCTGCCTAGTGTGCACCCACTGGTTTTGCTATGAAACGAGAAACGAAATGAGGATGATGGTGAGTTTTACTGGGTGAATAGAAATGCTGGCAGAGAGAGGAAAAGTTTGACGTTTGTGTGTTTGCTATACCCGCAGTCACTGACGCAGCTGCTCCGTCCCATTTGGTTGGAGCGTATTCATTAATATGTCTGACAATTAGCAATCCTCATGGGGTGATAAATAATTTGCTCACTAAAATAGTTGAAATGTGTTTCGGAAAACAAGCATTTATTTGTTTATTTATTCCCCTTGAAGTCTCTTGTTACCGTTTGTTTCTGACCTACAAAGACAGGAAGCGAGCGGGACAAAGAGGAAAGTAAGCCAACCCTCCGAGAGGAAGCTTTGAATGAGTAATGGCCTGCTGGCTTACGGGGGGGGATTAGGTTTGGGGAGAAGTGGGAAACAGAAGGGTCTGGTTGCAATTCAGAAGGAGACACACCTGATGCTGCTCTCTATCTGTGTGCAGACAAACTGAATGTCCACTGAGGTCAAGGAAGTAAGGATTTTAATGGAGAGGCTGGCGTTACATTAACATAATCATTGGAGACCTCTAATGTTCAGCTCCAATCCCCCTACTATACCAACAACCTACCACATGATGCTCCCTTAGAGAGAGTCTTTTCCTTCCATTGAAATAATTGGGAGACTAAAAACAAGAAGATTTTAAAAAAAGAATGTCTTTTGTAAACTTTGAAGATTGAAATTGAGAGTTAGAGAAGACATCTTGACGAGTAAACCAAAATCTCAATTAAAGCCAGAACCGGTGTGTGTTAGTATAAATGAGTCTGACATTAGCTTTTCCAGCTAAAGAGACACCTGTTCACCTTTTACTTGTCCACAAAAAAACCATAAAGAACTTATGTTTCAACTTATGATGACCTTTGCACCCGTCAAGCACCAGTTTTACAGGAACTAAATCCAGTTAGAAATGCAAAATTAATCACTCAAGCTAGCGATATAAAGAATAAGCAATGTTTGGTTTGCTTATAAATAAAAACAAGTATTGCTTTAAAGCTAAGAGATTTTGGGGGTTTTAGAAGTGAAACAATATTTATTCAGTTAAAGTTGTGAAACAATGTGGTTTGGTTTTGTTCAGACATTAAAACTATGTTTCATGGTATGGGTTAAAATAATGTCCATCCATCCATTCTCTATACCGCTCTCCCAATGACAGCTTGGATCAGCTCCAGCCCCGCGGCCCTGAGCGTAAAAAGCGATATGGATGGATGGTTAAAACAACTAATATGTAATGAACATGTTTTTTCTAATGAAGCTTAAAAAAACATGTTTTATGTTTTACTCGTACAACTATCGGTGGTACGTAAATTTTAATCATTTCCAGTATACGACCCAATAGCCTGCGCCAAAATGATCACTTATGGCATTATAATTTGAAGCATTGGTCCATGAACAGACTGCTACTGTATATTTGATGATTTGGAAGAAGAAAGATATTGAGGCTAAAGGAAGTATTACATTTGGCCTCTTCATCTGACTAAAAATCACATTATTATTATCAGCAGCCTGAATCATTTTACGTCCACTAAATTCAACCAAACATCTCCAAATATGTTCTATTAGAATTTATCCTCTCAATTTCCAACTGTCGTGTTATTTTAAGCCATGTACTCTTGATACGGTGCCAGTAAATAACACGGGTGGGGGTGGGGGGGGAGATGATGTGCATTTGCCACCGCCTGGTCACAGTTTTTGGCAGCAGCAT